CTTGCCCCAAAGCACTCAGCTTTACTTTGTCTGTGGCCTGGGAAGCCCACCATACCACTGTGCCTCATGCTCTAACTTCTAATTCTGCTGCTGCTCCTGTGAGGTCATAGCTGTCTTGTAGATCAAGTTGGCTAACTATGCAGGTATCTCAGGGATCCATCTGGAGCACACTCTACTCTTGGCTCTTACTGGTACTGAGATCTCCCCTCCTGCTTCTCAGAGGGTTTATTTTTATATCTAGCAGGATCACAGTCCAGTGAATCCTGTTCACAGTTACTCACAGGTGAATCTTAGTGTCTCCCCCCACATTCTGGCCCAGACCCATGCAGGTAGAAGTCATGTGGTGGGCGCTACAGAGACTTTGGCAAGAAAAGCCACATTAAACAATTTTCTGCTCCTTCAATAGCCAAGTGTGTTCATCATTTCTACTACCCATGCGCACCTTAGTTGCCCAGGACTTAGTGTAATCAATGGTTCCTGCCTACTTCTGATTTTGCTTCACTGAACTTGAAAGTAGAGTGATATCTGTTACTGCTTTACTTGGAGGGCACCAGATGAAGAGTGACCTATACCTGCAGGTCCTTCAGAGGACCTAATTGACCTCGAAGTATAAAATGGATCATATGGTTAACACATCATCAGACATTGTCATTCTAAAACAAGGCTTTTCCTTCCTCATTGATCGATTTCATAGCTACTGAGGTCATCTTCTCCCTGATTAGAAGCAAAGAGGAAATGGTAAACTGTGTGGACAGGAGCCTGAGCACTGTCACACAGGCAGATTGAAAGCATGTGGGTGAAAGACAGATGATGAATGGACCACACCTTTTCTGTCCTAACACACTGTGCCTTGTCTGTGTGTAAGGAAGGAGCTGGCTTCTTGGTATCAGAGGCCTGCCTGCTGTCAGCCTCAAATACAGAGCTGCACGAATATTCCAATATCCACAGAGAATGACAATTGCTCTTTCCCAGTGTAGCAACCGTCACTGTATTGACTCTGTGAAGAGCAGTGTCCTTCTCTGTACCCGTTGTTCTCTCTTGTAGGCTGGTGGGATGTCCCCACTTAGAGACCCCAGGGTATACTGTGTGCTTCTCTGTTGTCTGCACTATGTCAAACCCTCCGGTGGCTTCTATTGCTCCCCTCTCATTGGTAGGGAAATGATTTGAGCTCCTCTTCCCACCATCTGCTTTGAAATGACTTTGGTTTTCAGCTGTTCCTTTGGACTTTGACTTGGTATACTGGCTCTTTTCCCAGCTCCTTTGGATTATTGCCTCTTCTGCATTCTGTGCCTGCCCTCTCAACCTTCTTTCCCTCCAAGAGGCACATTGTTTCTAGAACTTCATGCCCTTTAGCCTCCCACCCCTAAGCAACCCAGACTCCCAAGGGATATGGTGCCCTGTGGGGAAGCACAGACATGGAAGATATCACCACGTGACATCTTGACAGATGACACGCTCACCTCTGAGACCCAAACTTTGTAAGGGCACAGATCACGCCATTGTGTGTTATTAATGGGGAACTGTAACCCAGACAGTGGTGAAGGAATGACAAGGCACTGAACCCATACAATGAGGATGGCTGGTGATCTTGTGGCTTCCCTGTTCCAACAAGATTGTGTATGTTCTCAGTCAGGGACAAAAGTCTTCACACCTGTGGCACATTCAGCCCTTCAGAGACCTGTACTCCACACCACTGATGCCTCATAGCCACACCCATGACAGAGGCTGGTAGGAGTCTTCTCTTCCTCAGATGTCCTGCTATTACCTCAGACCTAGCAAGGTGAGAACTGAGCTCATCGACTCTGCCCAAAGCAGATTCCCCAATCCTGAGCCTTCCCTATCTTACTGGTCCAGACTCCTGGTTTGGAAATATGATACACCTTTGACTCATGTTTCACTTGAAGCTAGCTCCCACGGGTCCACCCAATCTGATTTTTGCCAAGTCAAAACTCATCACTGGGCACAGGGCCCATGAGTCTGTGTTTATGGCCCTTCTCTTGAAGGGAGACATAGCCTGGGCCTTCTGAGCTTGGCATCTTCTAACTAGTTTAGAAGTTTTGGCTTTTCACACTAAGACACCAAATGGAGCCAGCCAGAGCTTATCAAAGGGCCCAACCTGCTGAAATAGATCTCTCTTGTATTTACGTCTGAGGGCACTTTGTTATTCCCTGGACCCAGACCCCTCTCATTAATCTTCCCTGTCACACTTAATGTGAATTCTGCGCAGCTTTAAAGCGCCTTGGCCAGCTCTATGCTTTTGTATAATCTTGTCAACCATTTGACCTTTGTCAACTATATCCTGCCCTTACATGTCTCCTTATCTTTCGTGCACCGGTGTTCTTAGAAAATTCCTACTCATCTGTCAAGGTGAGTCCTTTGAAAAACTGCATACCTGCTTCTGTCATATCACGGTGTCTGTATATTATGTTTATGTATTATGTTTTCTCTAGTAGACTATAATTTTGGGGGGCAGGCTCTGGGCCTGATTTATCATTACCCCTCCTTTGCTCAGGATCTGGACCCACACAGCAGTGGATCCAAAGAGTCTTAGCTGCATGGATCTGTTCAGTCATTCATAAGAACGCCCTCCTACACAGCAATGTGCTATTAATTCTGCTAGACCCTGAGGACCCAGCCATGAGCAAGGCAGACAGAGTGTCTAGGGTGCCCTTTCCCTCATGGAAAAGATTATCAGTTAGCAAGGAAGTAAGTATATCCACAAGATACTTTGGAATTGCTTTAGTCAAAGAGGCTACTAAATTTAGATGGAAGACCTCTCTCTCAGAGAAGATGGCTTTGGAGCTGCAACCTACAGGATGAAACTAAACCACACAAGCCAGCTTCAGGCCGAGGTAGGAGCAGCTGCAGATGTGTGCAGGATGACAAGTCCTGAAGTGTTTAGGAGTGAGGGAGACTGACGCCACCAAAGCATAAGGAGCTTGTGGGGAGAGCAAAGTGCAGTTGACCTGGCCAGACCTGGTAGCGCCTCTTTGATAGGTCATAGTAGCAAGCTCATATTTTTTCCTAAGAATAATTGAACGTATTTTGAAACAGTAAAAACCTTTCAAATGTATGGCCGCATAGGGGTGAATCTGCTGGTTATAATCCCTACTTTAGCTGTCCTTCCCCCTTTTTCCTGCTGCCTCTTCCTTGGTTTGGACACAACTTGATTCCATTCAGACCCCAAGCTTTTCACTCCGGTGCTTCAGATGTAGGTCTTGCCTGGCTCCTCTTTTGGCCTTTGCACTGTGAATCAGTGCCTCAAAGTCCTTCCCCCACCCCACCCCCACCAATTACTTATCTTGCCATGCCTTCCTCTTGAAGGAACCAATCTCTGCCTCAGCTGGGTTCTCTCGTCCATAACCTACTCCCTTTTAGTTGAAAGCCTCTCATCCAGTGAGCTGTCTTGGCACAAACATGATCATTGCTATCTCCTGGAATTATCTCACTAAAGGATAAGAAGAACGAAACAAAGCTAGCTACCATATATGGAACACTTCCTATGTGCAGGGCAATGTACTAAGCACTCTTTGACATATTACCCATTTAATCATGATATATCAACTCTGTGAGTTAGGTATTATTATTATCCCTATTTTATAGATGAGGAAATTGAGAGAGATGACTCAGTAAATGCCAGGGCTGAGTTTGAACTCAGGCTTTTCTGAACTCAGCCTCTGAGTGTAACTGTTAGTATCCTGGGTGGTTCTCTGTGTCCCGGAACCCTTACCTGTACCATCCCCAAAGCCACTCCTCTGTGGCTTATATTGCTCACCTGCCTCTCTCCATTCCAAAGGTACATCATCACAGGGGATAAGCAGAGAGCCTCAGAATATTCCATTTCCATGCCAGCAGAGTACTTGAGTGTGTGACCCACTATTGTCCCCAGCATGTATGCTCACTAGTCACATGTGTAGGTTTAGCCAAATGAGAAAACATGACTACTCCTGCCTTTATTTTGGAGCTCTAGTGGTGCTGTTTGGTAATAAGCATTGGACTGTTAATCATAAGATGGGCAGTTCAAACCCACCAGCCATACAGCGGAAGGAAAATGAGGCTGACTACCCCCCATAAAGATTTAAAAATCCTTGGAAACCCTATGTAGGCTTGCTATGAATTGAAATCTGCTCATTGGCAGTGAGTTTGGTTTTCTGAGCATTCAGTTTATATGTGGGAGTTATGCCTCTTGAGGTTGTAAATGTTCTTTCCTTCTTGGAAAATACAATGTGGAATTGGAGTTCCATTCCTTTCAAGTCCCTCCCTTTTACCCAGGAGTAGGTGGGGACTAAAATGATAGGTGGCTGACGGAAGAAGACTGGTTAATTTAAAGACCATTCTAAGAGGCAAGGTTGCCCAGCAATGAAGCCAATTGCCCCTAGATAAGGGGAAGCCAACCCCCTGTTCCTATAGCTTTTGGCTCTTAGAGGAGAGATTCAGTGTTACGGCAGTGACTAGACTGTATATGCTTTGAGATGGTAGTGTGGAACAGAGACTAAGATACAGTGCACCTGATTCCTTGGATGGTGCTTTCTGAGAAAAGGGCTGAAAGTGGCAGTGGAGGCCTCTCAGCCTGGATCACTCCCTGCCCCAAGGAAAGTGTTGCAGGTATGGGGCAAGTTCAGATGCTGCTGTGGCCATCTTGGTATGTGCTGCTGAGCTGCTAAGCTTGAGATGAGTCCTTGTTGCTTTCTGCTTTGCCTGCTTCTTCCCCAGGTGATAATTGGATCTTCTAGAACCCAGATCTGCAATGACAGTGAGGTATGTCACCTCTGTATTGCTGATCCTGAGGAGTCCAGAGAGCCCTGGAGGCAAATGGTATCATGTGCTAAAGACTTGTGAAAAGGGAGGGAACACTCTTACTAGGAGGGCATGGAGATGGTACAAACCACAGATTTCTTGGATTCTTATGAAAGTAGATTATATGGTGATGGAATAAAAGGGTTTTGTGGTTTAATCTGCACAGTTCTAATTCTTCCCTTATTCTGTATTTGCACTTTTAGAGTAGAGACGCGGTCCCTTACAGCAATAGGAGTCATGGCCTCCAATGCGAGTCATGTGTTAGAGGCTGCCCTTGAGCAGATGGATGGAATCATTGCAGGTAAGATCAGAACTGTTAGCCTCCACATTAGAAAACCTGTTGTGTTTCCTTTTAATTCTCTTGCTGTTCATGCCGTCTCTTTTTTTAAGAGCACAAGCTTGTAGAACTCTGATATTTGGTGTGATAATTTATGTCTGCAATGAGACCATTTGAATGTGTCTTCTGTTAGCATCCAGCTCTGTCTGAGATGGCTTGTTTTTTTAATCATTTTTTGGAGGCTCATACAACTCTTATTACAATCCATACATACATCAATTGTGTAAAGCACATTTGTACATTCGTTACCCTCATCATTCTCAAAACATTTGTTCTCCATGTAAGCCGCAGGTATCAGCTGCTCATTTCCACCCCCCTCACTCCCCCCTCCCTCATGAAGCCTTGATAATTTATAAATTATTATTTTGTCATATCTTATGCTGTCCGTCGTCTCCCTTCACCCATTCTTCTGTTGTCTGTTCCCCAGGGGAGGAGGTTATATGTAGATCCCTGTAATCGGTTCCCCCCTTCTGCCCCACCCTCCCTCTACCTTTCCAGTATCACCACTCTCACCACTGGTCCTGAAGGGATCATCCATCCTAGATTCCCCGTGTTTCCAGTTCCTATCTGTACTAGTGTACATCCTCTGGTCTAGCCAGATTTGTAAGGTAGAATTGGGATCATGATAGTGGGTAGGGAGGAAGCATTTAGGAACTAGAGGAAAGTTGTATGTTTCATCATTGCTACACTTCACCCTGACTGGCTCATCTCCCTGCGACCATTCTGTAAGGGGATGTCCAGTTGCCTACAGATAGGTTTTGGGTCCCCAATCCGCACTCCCTCTCATTCACAATGATGTGATTATTTTGTTCTTTGATGCCTGATTCCTCATCTCTTCGACATCTGGTATCACACAGGCTGGTATGCTTGTTCCATGTGGGCTTTGTTGCTTCTGAGCTAGATGACCGCTTGTTTACTTTCAAGGATTTAAGACCCTAGACGCAATATCTTTTGATAGCTGGGCACCATCAGCTTTCTCCACCACATTTGCGTATACACCCATTTATCTTCAGTGATCGTATCAGGGAGGTGAGTACACAATGCTATGATTTTTTGTTCTTTGATGCCTGATAACTGATTCCTTTGGCACCTCATGATCACACAGGCTGGTGTGCTTCTTCCATGTGGGCTTTGTTGCTTCTGAACTAGATGGCCATTTGTTTACCTTCAAGTCTTTAACACGCTAGCCGCTATATCTTTTGATAGCTGGGCTCCATCAGCTTTCTTCACCACATTTGCCTATGTACCCATTTTGTCTTCCATGATTGTGTTGGGAAAGTGAGCATCATGGAATGCCAGTTTAATAGAACAAAGTATTCTTGCATTGAGGGAGTACTTGAGTGGAGGCCCAATGTCCATCTGCTACCTTAATACTAAACTTATAGGCACATAAATCGATTTCCCCATCCTTATATATAATTATATTTACATATGTACATGCCTGTATTTAGACCTCTATAAATACCCTTTGCCTCCTAGCCCTTTCCTCTCTTTCCTTTGACTTTCCTCTTGTCCCACTATTATGCTCAGCCTTCATTTGGGTTTTAGTAATTCCTCTCAGTTACATTACCCTTGATCACACCCTACCAGGCCTCCTACACCCTCCTCACCACCGATTTGGATCACTTGTTGTTCCCTTGTTCCTGGGTTTGTTAACACCACTCCCTTTCCCCTCCCCCACCACCCACATCTTCCTCTTCCCTTGTCCCCCTGGAACTGTCGGTCCTGTTGTTTTCTCCTCTAGATTGTTCATCCAGCCTATCTTATTTAGACAGACCTGTGGAGATAATAACTTGCACAAAAACAAGACAGAGCAAAACCAAGCAACAAAAGAAAACAAAGCAAAACAACAGCAACAAAAAGCCAATAACAAAAACAAAATAAAACACACAATAACAACAAAAAAGAAAAGCTTGTAGTTAGTTCAAGGACTGTTTGTTGGCCTTTAGGAGTGTTTTCCGGTTGAATCTGATGGGGTGCCAAGCCCTGGCCCCCAAATCTATTTTTGGTATTCCCTGGGAACTTTGTTGCTCTGTTCCCCTTGCTATTCTTTTGCACACCCGTAGTGTTTTGCCTTGGTGTGGTAGGATCAGATTAGGTGCAATTCCCACACTGTGTCTCCAGTGTTGTTCCCTCTAAGGCTATGGATCAGTGAGGGATGTCGTGTCTCATAGTGGGGCCGGCCATATGGTCTCCTCTGTGGATTGGCTGATCTGAGTGGGAATTTCATTGTCAAGGCTTGGTGGGCCAGGATGTGCTCTACTCTCTCTTCCTCCCACTTCATTTGCTCCCATGTGCTCTCATCAAACATGTCCCTCTCCCTGAGCTGCAACTTCAGTGCTGTCCTCTGATCAGAGATGGCTCTTATACACATAGGAATGGTTTTGATAGAGATGTGGTTTTTGTCTTTTAGTCAACATACCCCAAGGAAAATAAAGGATATTGTCTTAAGTCATGCCCTCTAGTAAAGTTGAGTTTAAAGATACCCCCAAAGAGTCAAAGGGTGTAACTTGGTTCATACTTTCTGTTAAGGTCAGGGTTTGAGATAAGGTTTATTGTGCCAACATGACCAATAAACACATATGGGGGTTAATTGAAGGACAGAAAGATAAATGGCTCAGTGAGCCTCACCTTTCTAGTTCTCAGGTCTCTTACTTTCTGATGGTCAGACCAGGGTGCAGCTCCCTTTGCCAGTTCCCTGCTTCAGCTTGCAAGGCTCACTTCCTGCAAGGCATCCCTGAGGAGAAGCCACATGGACCCACCTTGATGCAGCCCTGGGTGCTGGAGCAGCCATGTGGAGACCCCTACCAGTGCTGAGATGCTTGCACATTCACTGATTCCGTTCTCCTCCTGCAGTCAGTATCATCACGTCTGTTTTTTGAAATGGAGGAGGACTTTGTGGATCAGTGTCGGACACATGGCTAATGTTGGACTTGTGGGCTTGGATAGCGTTGGGTTAGGATGTTTTTTGATGTGCACTTACCCTTTATATAAAACTCTCTCTTATACATGAGTTTTTGTGGATTTGTTTCTCTGAAGTGCCCAGACTAACACCGGGTTTAATCCCAACTTGATCATGTCCATAAGTATACAAGATAACACCCTCCAAAGTGGGATTATAGCCACGGTATGGTTTATAACTCAGTATAAAGACAATCAAAACATTCACAACTGGAACAATAGACAAGATGTTGATAAATGTAGAAAGTTGTCAAGGATTTCATTTTGCTTGAATCTGTCATCAATGCTCATGTAAGCAGCATTCAAGAAATCAAACAAAATCATGAACTTTTTGAAACCCCTTCACACATGATTTCCTTTATATCTGTTGTCTATCATTCTCTTTGCTGCTTTTTTTGATGCATATACTCCAAAACACAATTTTAAAAAATGACTTCTAAATTATGTTGCAGTTAAAAGTCATCTCTATGGTATGAATTCACTGCCATTTATGGCTGACGTGTGAACAATGCTAATTTTTATTAATGTATTATGTGTACTTGAAAGGTGTGTGCATTTTTCTAGTTGTTAGGTGCAGCACACTGTATTTTCAGTAGGCAGATCTTCTGCACAGGATCTTTTTAAAGTGTTGAAGAGCAAGTATGTCCTTTGAGGACTAAGGCGGCCTGACCCAAACCTTGGTGTTTTCAGTCGCTTCATTTGCATTATGGTGTTAGTGAAGAATCTCAGAAGTGCTATGGACTGCCAGGAGAACAAACAAATCTGCTTTGGGAAAAGTATAGTCCTTAGAAGCAAGAATGGCTTGTCTTGCCCTCATGTACTTTGGACATGTTGTCAGAAGAGACCAGTCCAGAAATTGAGTATATATAACCCCAGATTATCTGTTTATAGGTCAGTCTTGTGTACTTAATTGGCTGGACTGGTCTGGGGTCTACAAATTTTAATCAGATCACCTCACTCCTACTTCCAAAGCTCGTCTATGCCTTGCTTCCCTTCTCAGCATAGTCTGTGGTTCTCACCATAGCCAGCGATGTCCTATATGATGACCATGTTTCCAATCACTCTTCCCCTGGATATCTCACTGTAGCAACACACACTGGCTATGGCTATCTCAGTGCCCTTGAGCTTGCTGCCAGAATATTTTCTCCCAGACACTCAGGTTCTTGCTAAAGTATCATCCTATCAGGAAGCTCTCCCTGACCCAATCTCCCATTACTTTTTCTTTATATTCACTTTATATGTCCTCATAGCATTTGTCACTACCTAACCTAATGCATCTGTAGTTTGACTGCTTCATGCATCAGAATATACATTCCATGAGGACAAGGGCTAGCTATTACATTCCAAGGGCCTCAGTTGGTTTGCGATTCATAGTAGGAGTTTAATAAATATTTGTTGCATATGTGTTCTATTTACTTTTGTACATAGGGTGTTTCATTGGTTAGTAGGCAATATTACTCGTTTCCTCATATATCCTTGATCTGGTTGCATAATGAACTTCATCTATTATTTCCTCTTTTTGGCTAATTATTTCAAAATAACAATAAATAATTTTTATGAGAACCATTGATTGGCAAGTTCTATGAGCCATCTCTTAAACAGTTAGATCTGAGATGAGCTATTTGACACATGCAGCAGCATTTTGATGGTGCAGCAGTTAAGGCTCTTGAGCACTGCTAAATGAAAGGTTGGGTTTTCAAACCCACCAGCTGCTTTATGAGACAAGGATGTGAAGGTCTGGTTCTGTAAATATTTAAAGCCTTAAAAACTACAGGACACAGCTATTCTGTTCTACAGGATCAATATAAATTGGAGTTGGCTCGAAGGCAATGAGTTTGGTTTTGACATTTGATGGAAAAGCTCTACATTGAGGTCATTAGTATCTGGAGGCAAGTATTATGTGCTCTTGATGAAAATAATGATGATAATTTTTGAAATGCCTTTGTGATAGGTACTTTTTAATACCAAAATTGTTAATACCATTTCATTTTCAAAATGACTAG